TGCCACCTGTGCAATAAGTCCATCTGTGAAAATTCCTTGCTACTAAATATTCCACGGTCAACTGTTAGTGGTATTATAACAAAGTGGAAGCAACTGGGAACAACAGCAACTCAGCCACAAAGTGGTAGGCCACGTAAAATGATGCACAGTGTGCAGAAGACGCCAAGGGGTTTATTTACTAAAGCTGGAAAGTCCAAAATCAGACTCCCTTCTGCATAGAAACCAATCAGCTTCTAACCTCAGCTTGTTCAATGAAGCTTTGGCAATGAAACCTGGAAGCTGATTGGTTTCTATGCAGAAGGGAGTCTGATTTTGGACTCTCCAGCTTTAGTAAATAAACCCCCAACTGTCTGAAGAGTCACTAGCTAAAGACCTCCAAACTTTGTGTGGCCTTCAGATTAACACAACAATGCATAGAGAGCTTCATGGAATGGGGTGCTAAGGCCGAGCAACTGCATCTAAGCCTTACATCACCAAGTGCAATGCAAAGCGTCGAATGCAGTGGTGTAAAGCATGCCGCCTCTGGACTCTAGACCAGTGGAGACGTGTTCTTTGGAGTGACGAAGCATGTTCTTTGTCTGGCAATCCGATGGACCTGTCTGGGTTTGGTGGTTGTCAGGAGAACGGTACTTGCCTGACTGCATTGCGCCAAGTGTAAAGTTTGGTGGAGGGGGGATTAGGTGTCGGGTTGTTTCTCAGGGGTTGGGCTTGGTCCCTTAGTTCCAGTGAAGGGAACTCTTAAGGCATCAGCATACCAAGACATTTTGGACAATTTCATGCTCCCAACTTTGTGGGAACAGTTTGGGGATGGCCCCTTCCTGTTCTAACATGACTGCACACCAGTGCACAAAGCAAGGTCCATCAAGACATGGATGAGCGAGTTTGGGGTGGAGAAACTTGATTGGCCTGCACTGAGTCCTGACCTCAACCTGATAGAACATCTTTGGGATGAATTAGAGTGGAGACTGCAAGCCAGGCCTTTTAATCCGATATCAGTGCCTGACCTCACAAATGCGCTTCTGGAAGAATAGTCAAACATTCCCATAGACACACACCTAAACCTTGTGGACAACCATCCCAGGAGAGTTGAAGCTGTTATAGCTGCAAAGGGTGGGCCAACTCAATATTGAACCCTATGAACTAAGACTGGGATGCCATCAAAGATCACATGCGTGTAAAGGCAAGCGTCGCACAAATACTTTTGGCCATATAATGTGTGTGTGTATATATATATGTGTATATATATATATATATATATATATATATATATATATATATATTTGTGTGTGTGTATTCAGCTATTTACATGGAGTTTAACTATAAAATAAATCTGTAGTAGTAATTATTACATCGTCTTTGTGCAATGGCAGCAGGTGGAGCTCTCTTGTAGTGTTGGATTCTCAATAGATTTTACACCAACTGGAAGTGATTGTAAAGCTTCAGCTTTTATAAAAAACCCAAATATGTCCTACTTACCTGCTCTGTGCAGTGGTTTTGCACAGAGCAGCCCCAGTACTCTTTTTCTTGGGTCCTAGCCGATGCTCCTGGCTCTGCCTCTTCAGCTAGTGCCCCCATAGGAAGCCGCTTTCTATAGGGGCACACGTACAGGCCAGCTCCCAAGCCCTGCGTTCATAGACACACACAAATCAGGCACAGCCCTGCCCCCCATTCCCTCATCACAGAGTTTAGTTGACAGTAGTGGGAGCCAAAGGGACAACTGGGAGAGCTGCTGCTCTCTTGCAGATCGCTGGATCGTGATGGGGCTCAAGTAAATATGGGGCAAGTATAGGGAGGGGGGGCTGGGGGGAGATCCCAGGCACAGTAGGTTTTTTACCTTAATGCATAGAATGCTTTAAGGAAAAAACCCTTAAGGCTTTAGAACCACTTGGAGGATGAGAACATTTACAAAAATTGACTATGAATTCCACATGAGTTATAAAAAAACAAATCTCTGACTTTATTGGGAGATCCTCAAAGAGAGGCATTAGAACTTGACTTGTTTGACTTTCTTCAATTCAATCACCACATATTCCAGTACTGTACACACTGCCTAGGATTCTGCGATTTGTTGTATGTGATCTGAACTAACTTTTTTATTTTCAGAAACAAATGTATGTGTAACAATGAAGAGTTGCCACAGAATCCAAAGTTGCCCCCGTCTTTTGTGGGTGCATCTATGGATAATTTTGAAAATGTATTTGTATCTCCAAGTATTATGTTTGTACAACATTACAGTGCATGGTGTCACTATATAGATGATGAATTTGCCCTCTGGTGGGGTGAAATTGTATCCCTTCATGAGTATAATCAGATACTGAACTCATGTGATAGATCCAATTGAACATGACAAAAGAAACCAGATTCCATTTCGGACCTTTTTTTGTAAATCACGGAGAACACTTGGAAATTGACATTTATTATAGGCAACCGATAAAAACCAATTACTCAGGTATGACACGTCTGGTTGTAGATAAACTGGAACTTGCAGAAAATGCCAACTACAAACAAACCCAGTGGGAGAGCACGCCTAAGGGTAACACTCACAGTTCAGTCCTTGGCAGAGTGTCAGTGGTTAAAGATGCACCAACAGCGTCTGTCTTCAGAGGGTGGAATGTGGCCTGGCCAGTCTGGTTTGGTCCCAAAAGGGAGGCTGCAGTACAGGATTGTGAATCCCTAGTCTGTCTATACTTGTCAGGAACCCTGCTGCTACCACTTTTCCTGACAGGCAGGTGCTCTTTCCCTATCCTAACTACTTTTGCAAAATACGTGCCAAAACCTGGGGGCAGGATAAAGAATCTGCAGACTCAAAGATGGCCACTGAGGTCACTTGGATGCAGAGTAGCCAACCACAACACTGCCTCCAGAATCCCAAAAAACCATAGAGAACCTGAATTTCTCCTGACTTCCTCTCCAGGTTGTGATGCTGCTCTGTTTGGGCTCCCCATACAGAGGAGAAAGCAGACTGCATCTACCTACATGTGGTTCATAGCCAATTTCTTAGAGTACAATGGACAGTTTCAAATAAAAAGAATCTGTCCATGAGGTAGCAGGAAATGGTACAAACATTTCAAACAAGAGAATATCCAAATACACTATTGGAAACAGGGTTAAGAGGAGTACTGGATAGTGAACAGAGGACACACAATAAACGAGCAAAACAAAAAAGCTTTTGCCACTCAGTATCATCCAATGAGTAGAAAAAGTGTTCTCACAGTCTTATCTCGAGATTTCTAAATTACAATCAGTTCCCTTACAGGTTTTTCGTCCGAACCTTAGCTTGAGAGATTAGCTCCTTCGATGTGATTTCCAAAGCTCAACCAGTTATATTGGGCTAAAGGCAAACAGGTTTATATCTGTAATATATAAAAGACTTGTACTTAGATGTTAAAGGCCAGAAAAGAAGCAGCTAACACAATCAATAGGCAAATAATAGAAATATATAAAGAACTGTCAGTGTAGCCCTTAATTGGTGATACATATGATTATTATTTATAACCAATCATCCACCAAAGGTGAAAAATAAAATATAGATAACACAAATTAACCAATGAGTCCACATAATCTGGAAGTGCTGGTGCTTTTGCAAGAAGCCAAAAGGATAGAGAAAGTCCTTCACCTTCCGCCCAATCACACAGCCTCTTACCAGAGAGTTTCACCACCGAAGGCTCAGCTGATGTATCTAGGACTGGCAGATAGGTCCCCCAGAAAATCCAGACAATGTATTAAATATCCTCCGAATTATATAGCTCTTAGATGGCAGATGTCTCTCCATACATTGAATACCCAAGAGGGAAAAAGTAACCGCTCATAGTGTAATATGTCAAAGATATGTAAATTTATTTAACCACTTCCAGTCCGGACACTTTTACCCCCTTCCTGTCCAGGCCAATTTTCAGCTTTCAGCACTATCACACTTTGAATGACAATTGCGCGGTCATGCAACACTGTACCCATATGAATTTTTTAGCATTTTTTTGAGACAGATAAAGCTTTATTTTGGTGGTATTTATTCACCACTGGGATTTTTTTTTTTTTTTGGTATATAAATGAAAATGTCCAAAAATTTAGAAAAAAATTGTTTTTCTTATAAAATTTTCCAAATAAATAATATTTCATCTAAATCTTGGCCAAAATTTATTCCGTTATCTTTTTTAGTAAAAAAAAAAATAACTCAAAGTTTATAACCAAAAATTCTAATTTTTTTAAACACATTTTTTACATTTGTATTTTATTTTTTTATATTATTATTTATGTTTTTTCTACATACTGTCACCCTAGCAGTACAGTGTCACCATAGTGACACTGTACTACTTGTGGGGGGGTGATAAAAATTTATTATTATTATTTTTTTTTTTTACACTGATTGCTTTTATACCCATAAAGGCTGTAAAAGCAATAATTTCTCCTTCTCTCTGGCTGCATTCTTGCAGCCATTGAGAACTACTGTGTGAGCTGTGATTGGTCCCAGCTTGTAGAAGGCTGTTGTGAATAGCCTTGTACCATGTGACCTCTGTGATCATTCATAGATTTCACATGTAGTAAGCAATGATATCAGAAGTGACATCTTGCTTACTACTCTGCATGTGATCACTTATTGGCCAACCAGTGATCACATGATTGGGACCTCGCACAGAGGTCTCATACGACGATCGGTGTTCCATTGTGTCCAGAGGACACAGCGGGCACCAGACCGCGGTGCTGCGCGCTCCCAGGGAAGTCGCACAGTCCATAATGGCAGGTGCCGTTTATGAACGGCAATCCGCCCCTGGACTGCCACCGTCCGGCCGTTTATATACAGTGGCCAGACGGCAAGTGGTTAAAGTATTGGACTTACAATAGGCAGGATAAACATCAGCATGTCTGTATAAAGGTTTCCAACCATTAACCACCTCCCGCCTGCCATATAAGGTAATGATGGGCGCAAGGCGGTTCTCTCATTCTGGGAGGATGTCATATGATGTCCTCCCACTCCAACCGCGCATGCGCAGCTTTGGGGGCGTGTAGCGCGGCAATCACTGGTGCGCTGTGTCTCTCGGACACAGCGGATCATCGATCAACGGAAAGAGCCGAATGTGTCAGCTCGATCATTTGATCAGCTGTGTCCAATCACAGCTGATTGCATGTAAATAGGGAAATGCTGGTTATCGGTATTTCTCTCCTCACGAGCTGTCACGCTGACGCTGGAATGAAGAGCCAGTAATTGGCATTCCTCAGAGGGGATATGTACACTGATCATCAGGGCACTGATGATCAGTGTGCTCTGATGATCAGTGTAGCCCTAACAGTGCCACCTGTCAGTGTTCATCAATGCCAGCTGTCAGTGCCCAACAATGCCACCTGCCAGTGCCCATCAGTGCCACATCAATGTCACATATCAGTGCCCATCTGAGCTGCCTTTCAGTGTCACCTATCAGTGCCAGTCAGTGCCACCTATCAATGCCAGTCAGTGCCACCTATCAATGCCAGTCAATGCCACCTATCAGTGCTGCCAATCAGTGCCACCTAGCAGTGCCGCCTATCAGTGCCAGTCAGTGCCACCTATCAGTGCGCATCAGTGCCGCCTATCAGTGCCCATCAGTGCTGCCTATCAATGCCGCCTAACAGTGCCAGTCAGTGCCACCTAACAGTACCAGTCAGTGCTGCCTATCAGTGCCAGTCAGTGCCGCCTATCAGTGCCACCTATCAGTGCCATATATGAGTGCTGCCTTTCAGTGCCCATCAGTGATGCCTGTCAATGCCCATCAGTGCCACCTACCAGTGCCTCCTCATCAGTGCCTATCAGTGCCACCTATCAGTGTCCATCAGTGCAGCCTATCAGTGTCCATCACTGCAGCATCATTAGCGCACATCAGTGAAGGAGAAAAATTACTTATTTACAAAATTTTATAAAAAACTAAGAAAAAAGTTTTTTTTTTTTCAAAATTATCAGATGTTTTTGGTTTGTTTAGCAAAAAATAAAAAACCCAGAGGTGATTAAATACCACCAAAAGAAAGCTCTATCTGTCTCAAAAAATGATAAAAATTTCATATGGGTACAATGTTGCATGACCGCGCAATTGTCATTCAAAGTGTGACAGCTGGAAATTGGCCTGGGCAGGAAGGGGGTATAAATGCCCTGTAGGCTAGTGGTTAAAGTGACTCACTATTATTGCATTTTTTATCAATACCGCAACAGTAACTAGACATCAGTGATTTTTTAATGAGGATATTGCACCAGCACTTGCTTAAAAAGCAATCCCTTTGTGATTCCTGCTGGTTACTGTGGTGGCTATGCTGTTATCCAAAGACCCAATTTCTCACTGGGAAGTCTGTGAGCTGTTAGTAACGGCATGATCACAGGACAAAGGACTGTACACTAATCAACTGTTTAGAGCTGCTGTGTAGATATCAAGCCAATTCTTGCAGAAGCCCCTGTAACGGAACCACCAAAAGAAAGCTCTATCTGTCTCAAAAAATGATAAAAATGTCATATGGGTACAGTGTTTCATGACCGCAATTGTCATTCATAGTGTGCCAGCGCTGAAAGCTGAAAATTGGCCTGGGCAGGAAGGGGTATAAGTGCCCTGTAGGCAATTGGTTAAAATGGCTGTGATCCGTAGCGGTGCGTAGTGGCATCACATGTCACATGTCGAGGCTCCACTCTACTCGTTTTTTCACTCATAGGACATCATCAGGGGCTGATAACTGCACTGTTTCACCAGTCCTTTGGGTGGTCAAACACTCTGGTAAGAGGTTGTATGATTGGGTGGAAGGTGAAGGACTTTCTCTATCCTAGCACTTCCAGTTTATGTGGATTTTTTTTAATTTGTGTTATCTATGTTTGATTTTTCACCTTTGGTGGATGATTGGTTGTAAATAATAATCATATGTATCACCCATTAAGGGCTACACTGACAGTTCTTTATATATTTCTATAGGTTTATATCTGTGTTTGACATGCACACAATACATTTTAATAATTAAAGGCAGACATTTCATTCATCAATCATCAGGACGGAGATATCAGATAAAATGTTCCATTACCTGTCAGTTAACATATGTGATTTACACATTAATGTGCCTCTGTAGCCTGTTACATGTTTGAGAAACTAATCAGAAAGTGAAGGACTATATTTCCCAACACTGGCAGTCTATTAGAAAAACAACCTTTCCCTTTTTTATCTAGACATTTTGCAGATTTAGAACATACAGAGATTGATCTTAGAGTTCCCTGTACTAGATTAGTCTTTTTCAACCAGGGTGCACCCTGGGGTGCCTTCAGGTGTCTTCAGGGGTGCCTTGGCAAAATGCCTACAAATTGGCAAAAATTGCATACAAGCCAGCCACGTTTTCATTTTGCACTATTACAACATTTTAGTCATCGACGTCCTGACGACCAGTAATGCCATTTGTCGATAAGGGGGATGCCTACACAACATCCTTGTTTTCCCCTACCCTACCCTCCATCTGTCAGCACTTGGGTCATATTAGCTGAGTGAGGAAGAGAAATTGTAGGAGAAGAGAAACAATGGAATACTAGTCAGTACCAGTGTTCAAAAGTATATTTACTTTGAAGGATTAAATCAACTCTAACGTTTGTGGGTGGGGCTGACCTGCCTGGTACACACAGGGCCTTTTTGGTTCTCTCTCACTCATCTCCTTCATCTGGACTCTACAGTATATGTGCTCGCTAATGCCTGGTTGCGTTCATGTGACATCAACATTATGGTGACACCCCGAGCTGTACACCCAGTGTCTGTGTACCATAACCTGAAGCTGTCATACAGTTGCATCCCTCCCCATGATACATACACTTGCTGAGGATGAGACATTTTGAAGGAGACACCACATTGTAGTGTCCTGTTCCACCAGTCCAGCTAGACTCTGCAACCCATCTCCAAGTGGCAAAGATGGTCCCGCTGGTAACCAGCGGAGACCCCACTTGCTTCCCTAGGGTCGGTGTCATGTAGGCCCAGTTCTGATTTCCACTTCCTTCACTATTCATGAGACCCGTCACCTTTGCTGTTACCGTTCTCCCACTGTCTGGCTGTCATATCACCCATCTTTTATACTTGTTGCCCCTAGCATCGACATGCCACCACTTCACCCTGTGTGTGTGTGCATTAAAGGCCCTGTTCTTCCACACGCCATTACCACTATGCACCCTTTTAAGTAACTTCAGACCAGGCATGACAAAGCTTTAAACATTTTACTTGCATAATGCAGCATGATGAGAATCACAGGGTAACATTTCAACATAAAGTGCAGTCTTTGCCTTACATCACTGGTCCCTAACTACAGGCTTGTGTACTTCCCCAGCATACCTGCTTAGGAAAGAGTCCTTGGCTGATATCTTCCAGGAGGACTGCAAGTCCCAGCAATCCCCCCTATATGTGGAAGGCTCCAGAGAATTCTTGCATTGAAAAAAAGACAGCTGAGGTGGGTAAATAAGCTGCAAACTTTAAACCCAATGGTGTAAACAGGGATTATAACATGTATTTGTTTTAGTAAACCCGTTCTATTTGTACATAGTTTCATAGTATTATCTACATTCTACAGCATGAGATTGGAAAACTGCACTTGAGAGTTTACTACCTAGAAACTAGGTTCGAAGAAGCATGCAACAATATTTCCATCAGATGTATGGGATGAATTGCTATTAAGCTTGTGTATATAGTTTATACATATTTTGTTTCTGGTTTTTTTATTGTGGTGTTTGTGGTTGGTTAAAGTATCATGATATGAACTTTAAAGCCAAACTCCAGGAAAATTTAAAATGATCCCCTGCAGTGGGCTTGTGTTTTACTTACCTGATGCTCTTCTCCCCTGGCAGATGGCACTCCCCCACGCTCTGGTGATGGACTGTCTCTTGGCATCATCATGTCCATTGCAGGGCTATGGACCTTGCTTTGGTCTTGATGATGTCTGGATCCTTGACTGCTGGCTTGTGAGAGATTAAGCTGCATGGATCACTCTAGTTGTGAAAAGGACTAGGGGACAGGGTAAGTGTAATATCTTTTCTTGTTCCCCTAGACCAGGGGTCTCCAAACTTTCTAAGCAAAGGGCCAGTTTACTGTCCTTCAGACTTTAGGGGGGCCAGACTGTAGCCAGTGAGAGTGGAAAATACCCCGGCATCAATGCCCCATCATTGGTTTTAGAGGGAGGAATAGTGCCCCATTGTTGATATCAGTGAGAAGTATAATGCCCTATTGATGGTGTCAGTAGGGGGAATGGTGCTCCATCATTGGTGACAGTTGGTGGAATAGTGCCCCAAGGGCCAGATAAACTCAATCAAAGGGCAGCATCCGGCCCCCAGGCCGCAGTTTGTAGACCACTGTCCTAGACGAAAAGCAAGCAATTAATCCAACATTAACTACAAAGGATAATTTAAAATTTTTTGTAGATACCTGGAGTTAACTAAGCAAGATCTAAGAGAACTGTTAGTGATTGTTAGTTACTTGGCATCTGAAAAAGAGTGGGGATGGTCGAAACTGTGGTGCTCTGTACCTGCTTTTGTACCACTAGAGGATTGCACAGAAATATATATATAAATATATATATATTCAGGAGAGAGGGGCTGATAGTGAAAACCTGTATCAGCCCTCCCTCCAAAATACCGTATTTTGCGCTCCATAAGACGCACCTGACCATAAGACGCACCTAGGTTTTAGAGGTGAAAAACAAGAAAAAAAATATTCTGAACCAATGGACTGCAGACACAGTACAGCAGATGACCAGAGACTGAGGACACAGTACAGGAGATGACCAGAGACTGCAGACATAGTACAGGAGATGACCAGAGACTGCGGACATACTACAGGAGATGACATAGTACAGGAGATGACCAGAGACTGCAGACATAGTACAGGAGATGACCAGAGATTACGGACATAGTACAGGGAATGACCAGAGACTGCCGACACAGTTACAGGGAATGACCAGAGACTGCCGACACAGTACAGGGAATGACCAGTGACTGCCGACACAGTACAGGGAATGACCAGAGACTGCCAACACACTACAGGGAATGACCAGAGCAGGGGCGGACTGACAACTCATGGGGCCCCCGGGCAATAGGGGATCACGGGGCCCCTGTGTCCTTGCCAAACTCAAAAAAGCCTATGAAAAAGGTACCAGGGGCATCTCATGGGGCCCCCTACTGACCCCCCCAGGCCCATGGGCAGTGCCCGAGCTTCCAAATGATCAGTCCGCCCCTGGACCAGAGACTGCGGACACAGTACAGGAGATGACCAGAGACTGCGGACATAGTAAAGGAGATGACCAGAGATTGCGGACACAGTACAGGAGATGACCAGAGACTGCGGACACAGTATAGGAGATGACCAGAGACTGTGGACACAGTACAGGAGATGACCAGAGACTGTGGACACAGTACAGGAGATGACCAGAGACTGCGGACATAGTACAGATGACCAGAGACTGTGAACATAGTACAGGGAAAATGCCAGGGACTGTGGACATAGTACAGATGACCAGAGACTGCAAACATAGTACAGGAGATGACCAGAGACTGAGGACATTACAGGAGATGACCAGAGACTGCGGACACAGTACAGGAGATGACCAGAGACTGCGGACACAGTACAGGAGATGACCAGAGACTGCAGACATAGTACAGGAG